GATCGCTCTGCAACAGGTCCGAAGTTATCGACATTCTAGGCGACCTTTCAAAAGGCCTCATGACCATAGGAATAGCTGTTCTGTTACGAGCAATGTATATGAGCTAGAATATTTAAGTGGTTGGATATTAGTAGAGCAGGAGATCAAAATATCCCGCGGGAAAACCTGGGACATATCGATCAAAATCGCTAGAGATTAAAGACAGCGATTACGATAGATTCGAGAATGGTTCAAGGAGACGTGATGGTGCTCAATGGTACGCAGTGGCGAAAAAAGCTGAGAAATCCGTCAAGAAAACGCAAAACGGGACCCCCTTTTTTGGCCGTTCTTTTTCACTCATGAACAGGTAACAGCTCAGAAATCGGACGTATGAACAGGGTCAACCCTGCGTTGCGCAAATTCCAAAATTTTTACGACCCCCTTCCTTTTCGGAGGGTATCGGTACGACCCCCCCGTATTAACTATTATGTCTTTCACATAATTTAATGCTCATCATTGATGTGTGGGCAGTCACCAACATGGAGAAGTGGTGGACCGTGGTCAATCCGCGCGCTCTGTCTCGCTCAGAGGAGGAATCGAGGCAAATGAAGTTTTATTCATTAAATAGAAGGAATTTCCAAATTTTTGCGTAAACCAATACATGATAATAATCACAAAGATTTCTACTTTCAGAAACCTACCAAGTTTTTTCGATCTCTCAATTTTCCTTATTTTATAATCTGAAAAACTAAACCTTGTAGCAATTACGTTGCAATCCAAACCCCTCCATTCAGAAGGTTATATTTTTCTTCAGAAGCGGTCTCATGGAACCGGACACCAAAATTTTAAAAATTCAAATAGTTTTCTTCCTAAAAAGTATTTGAAATGTTGCGGATGTTCAATATTTCAAAAAATCGTCCCGTTGTTCCGTTTTTTGTGCACACGCGAGTTTTCGACATTCAAACATTCATAACTTTCTTCATAATCAACTTTTTGCAGATGTCTAAGGCTAATTAGAAACTAGAAGATTAGAGCTTTCGAATAAGTGCTAAAACTTTTAAATAATCACTCGCTCAAAAAATAGTCCCGTTGTTCCGTTTTTTCCACCTTGATTTTTTCAAGCCATTTTCCTGGACCGCGACTATGCAGTCTTCAAAGGCCCATAACTTCCTTCAAAATTAATGTGATGAGAAGCGGTAAAGACTGTTAGAATCTACTCGAAGTACTTCATAACAAGTGTGAAATTTTCCTGAAATTCTTTCTTCTGCCTCAATTTTCCTAAGGGGTCTCTAGAATTCAATTCAGCAAATTCGCTACACTTTGTTCCGCTTAGATTTGATTTGAAAGCATCGAAATTCTCTTCAGAAAGTTTGTCTGCTTACGGCCGCTGACAGAGAAGGCGTTTTTATGGGAAAACGCCTGCTCGGGTATACGCCGTGCACCTGTCTGTGGACAGAAGTCGCACTCGCATTTGAAAGTCCTCCATTTTCCTGAAGAAGGTGTTAGTATCGTGACTGAGTTGCAATGTACTGTCATATGGTACTCTTGTTTCACTCCCCATGAACTGCTCTACACTTTGTTCTCCTTGGGATTTCAGGAATGTTCGATCATCGAAGACAGACCATGTTTTTGCACTACGCTGTAAGTTTTTGGCTATTGTAATCTTGATCTATGCTGTCGAGTGAAAGCGCCGTCCGTGTATTAGGATAATAATGGCTGATAGTGAGACTTATAATGCTCTCTAATCTTATGGAGCTCTTGCCTGTGTGACTCTCTTCGACAGCTGCACGGTGCAGAGCTCCTGGAGAACATTAGAGCGTGAATGTGCACTGCAGGACACTGCATCTTTTCAAGCCGTCTTGCAGCCCCGTCTCTCTAGATACGACCCCCTCCCCTTTCGTTCGACCGAATACGACCCCCTCGTTGTTCTTTGCGCAACGGACGGTTACGTGCGCCCCCCACCCACACCACCCCCCCCCCTATGAACGAATTCACCGCAATGCGTTTAGTTGTGGCAGCACGGACCGCACCACGGGCTGGTGGCTCCAGTCGGTGCGCTCTCAATCACCAAACTAAACTAGTAGTGGGTGGATGCTTCTGGGGAAGGAGTGCTTTCGAAGTCTTGCTCAGCAACCAGCGCACCTTTTGTAGCGAAAGCGCTGTATCTCGCCTCCTTAAGCAGCCCAGAGTGGACTGTTTTTCGGTGGCTAATATGCTTCCCCTATGCGCGCCTCCTCCCCATCGTAATCGCTGCCTTTAAAGGAAGCAGTCACGATAATTTTCATGGCAACGATAAGGAAAGCTATGTATTGGAGTGGATAGAGGTCCTGCCCAATGTTAGAACACGTAAAGTTTCAGTGGCAGTGGCCCGCCTTATCAACGGAGTGATAAGGAGCCGAAATTCACTCAAGTTCAGCAAAACCCAAGACTTATCGATGTGGAAAGGGGTGCGATAAGAGCGTGCTAGATATGATACCGTTATCGTTATCGTCCCTTATCAAGCTAGCCGCACCTTCTTATCTCATCGTATCATATCTTCCATGGGCTTACACTCGTCCAACAATTACTGCCTCACACCTTATCGATTGATAACGCGAGGGTAGCAAATCCAGCGTGGAAGCCAGCGTGACGCTTCCTTTAAACAATCACGAGGTGAGAGTAGCACTGTACTGGAGTACTAACAGATCACGATCCTAGGAGATTTGGGTGTTTAGCTGAAAAAATTAATAGATATCTATTGATCGAGTTGAGTGGAGGCTTCTTATTTTCCACAGTCTGTTCTTCTAGGCAGTTTGTTACTATTTTTGTCAGCTGAATACCATAAAATACTAAGTCCAAGATCCTTTCGCCCGATCTCCTGATCTCCTCAAATTGCTAGGCTAGAACGTGGCCTTAGCGCGTTTCTACCATCATCTCCTGTTTTCACAAGTGCTAAATACGCCCTCCCCTTAGGGTAATTCAACGTACATTGCATTGTTTTAAGAGAGGGAATATGCAAGAATGGAATGAATGCTTATGAAATTCGTATATTACTAACCTTGGTCCCAAATAAAACGATATCCATGAGATCACAATTGTGACCATAGTGGGTATGTTATCCCTGCAGAATGTCACCACCCGTACCGCCTCTTGAAAACGAACGCCACTGTCAACTCGTCCCACCAGCCGGCTGGGTACATCTGAAGCAGGATTGAAATTAAAATTCATGATTCTAGAATTGCGAAGAACGCTCCCAACTTCGAATCGTATAACTTCGTATTTTTATATTAAGGTGCTTTCTCCTTATGGACTTTAGGGGTGCTAACACTACATAACATCTTGGCGATAGGTGTAGAGGTCTTTTCAACCCAATTACAACGTGCGTCATGCCGGCGGGCCACATTTCACTGGCAGCAGATTTCATGCTGCACTTATTTTTAGACGCGGATCTCTTGATTAGGGCAAATGAGAGTGAGGGTTTCGCTCGGATCAGGAAGCGCAATGTAAAGCGCACGGTGCTGAAGTAGCCGTAAATGTTAGTGTTGCTACCGTTGATATCTTGAGGTCTGATTGGGCGTGTCACCGGAAATGACGTGCGACCGCCCACTTGATAGATGCCGTGTGGATACAATACTCCGCCAGTTATCAGCAAAGCGTGTTGGAAGCAACTTATCCACGCATCTTATCAAGAGCGGTGGCTGCCATGTCATTTCCGGTGACACGCCCAATCAGACTCCCAGTTGTGGACTGTACGCCATGGTCTAACAGTACACACCCCGAATGCTGAGCAGACAGCTTCGTGGTAAACAAGTGTCAGGGGCATGCCGCACGAATTTTGCAGCACTTAGAGGACCTCGTGGGGCCAAAGTGATGTAGTGCCATGTGGCGGTGCTCACACGCGCACGAAATGAGGAATAAATTCCGGATATGCGCCGTTTCTTCCATCCTTCGGGGACGTTCAGAGGTCACTAAGATCCTGAATGGCAATTAGAATGCGTGCGTACCCTTAAAGAGAGAACTAGATGAAGTACATGGATGCATTTTTTTATAAAAGGTGGGCGGAAGTGGTGTAGTGACAAGTGGCGCGCTTACCACGCGAGCGGTCCGGGGATCAAATCCTGGGTCGTGAGTCGCCCGGGCCAACCAAGCCTTCCATCCCTCCGGGGTCGGTTAATTGGTACCAGACTTGTCTGGGAGGATAAAAACACTGACTTGTACATCGGCTGGCCCCCGCAAGTCATTGTATAGGCCACATCGCATTCAAACGCCACTGCGAATGTACAAATGGAAGTAGAATGCGTGCCGCATCCCAAAAAGGGATTGATCAACGGCAAATGCTTTATCCTTTATCCTTTTATATATGTAAATTATATAGAAGTGTGGCGATAGGCTTTTATTACGCACCTCCGAGGTTTTTTCCAACAGAAAGAAAGCACAACCTTACCTGCTCAACTGCTATAACACTGAAGTTGACCATCTCGAAGTCTGGCAGTTGAATTGGTTTCAGTAGCATCACTGGATATGGTTGATTCCACTGCATTCGCACTTCACCCGTGTTGTAATTGTACCTGAAACATCTTAAACTGATATCATCATCCCTAGGACAACGTGGAGATGCTATTCAACTGACGATTCGAATGTGAGGAAGCACTTCTGCTGATCGAATGGAAAACGCTTGAGGTTCATGTCGCATGGACCGGTGAGTTTCATCCGATAGTTTGTCCATAGTGTGCCGTTTCCGAAAACCATCAGGAAAACATTTCTGGAACGAGGTTTCTAATCACTTCGGTTTTTCATATCACCGTAACAGGTCTTCATCATTCTTCATCATTAAAGCTAGAAAAAGATCCAGAATGGTAAAATTCAGTTACTTGAACGGGGACTCGTGAATCGCTGCGTTTTTCGAGTTGATGAAGCACGTGTTTGGTATCCACAACTCTGGAGAACCTTGTCGTCGAACGAAATATTCGACTTGCACGGATTCATGAAGTCGAAAACCAAGGCAGGATCTTCCCAGAATTCGTTGATATAGAGATCTGAAACGAACCCCTTATTGGATAATCCTCTTGAACATAATTTTCCGTCTTCATTAAGACTCCTCAAAAAAAACGTAAAGAGATGCCAAAAGGCCGCGCTACTTCTGGGAGGCAAGATGAATGCGCTTACGATGAAGTTTTGAAAAAATTTAACAAAGAGTAGTCGCAAAAGTTTCGGAAATATGACCTCGGCACGAGTTCAGCAACTGAAAAAGCTGCTCGTCAA